TAATAAAACTTCAAATTCTTAATTTATTATCAGTAAAGCATCAATGAAATGTAACGCAATATAATACATAATGATACAAATAGAATACAATTAATACAAGTATATATTAATACAAGCAATTTATCTTTAGAAATATAATTACTAGCATACTATAATTTATATTTAAAAACGAGCCGATTTTTTATAGCCGATTATTGACATTGTAGTTCCTAAATCTTTTATTTTCGAACATTTTTTATTTTATTCAAAGAAAAATGATTTTATCACAATAAAAAATTATTATCGTGCAAAAGACGAAAAAACAAAATGAGAGATAACCATGCACGCTTCTTACCCGAGCCAGGAAAAAAGGGCCAACAGTGCGAGGAGGCGCAACATTGTCAATTAAAAATTTTAACTCCGTTATAGATCCGTAAGGTATGGACATAAAATGGCGTGTTTCGCAAATTACCGCAGCAAACAACGCGCTTAAACAAGGAACGACACGCGTTCTGCGACAGGACACGTTCCGCAAGATGTTTTTCTTGACACCACCTGCATTAAAAAAAAACTATTCCCATCTGTGTTTTCGCAAGTGCGCGGAGTATCGCATGATTGATCATGCACAACAGTTTTACATCGATACTTGGAACGTACAAGGCCATGTTCAATAGAAAGGATCTTGGAAGACATATATCAAATTTTGATGTGCACACTGTACACGCGCAGTAGAACAGATGAGTTAGAAAAAACATGAAAAATAGAGGAAGAAAGAGTTGTAAGAATTTATATCACAAGTTCTTGGATTTTTAATTCTTGAGAATAACGATCGATCTTAAAATGATAGTTTCTCTCTATCGCTTTCTACCTCCATCCATTCGTTCTATTCTCACGTTGGACTAAGGAGTTGAGAAAAAATAAAATTCACTTTCATTCCACGTTTAATTACCATCAGAAATTTCAATCAGTCGACAAATAATTCAGTTTTCAAAACACTTCAGTCTTTATCTTAAATTTTATAAAAATGTGACAAAAACATTAAAGCTTCAAATTAGTATATATTATATCTCGTCTGTTTTTATAAGATTTACTTTTGCACGAGTGTCATGACAGGTATGTACATTTTTGTAGGAGAAAATTATTTTCATCGCAGATTTTGTGTTGACGCAACGCACAAGAATCTTTAAATCCGTCACTATAAATCTCTTTTATGATACTTTAATTTAATATTATTTTTGTTGCAGCTTGAGAAGTCGCAAACTCGGCAAGTGACATTTGTTGATACACTCCCGTGTCTCCCGTACTTTTGGTCTTAACGTGAGCGGTGAGACGAACGTGTTAACCCTGATTAATCGCCGGGGTTGGCCGGGGCTTTCGATTCGATCGCATTCACTAGGGCGGCCGTGACGCGCATCTCTTCCTGTATACTTTTAAATTTCAGATTAATGTCGTGCGTAGCTTTCCGAATGTCTTGCAGATTCTGCAACAGATTCAAAATATTTCTCTTCAGCGAGAAGCGCGGATTCGCGTCAACGTATGTACTTCCCATCCCGTTGAAAAATTTCAGACGTAACCTGACCATTTTTATACTCCTGTAAAGCGCCATTTCTTGTTCCTCTGTGAACGGCTCGCTGTAGGATTGTATAGATGACGAGAAAGACGAACTGGCCATAGCCGTGACGCTCGCTTTCATCAATTAATCGAACAGAACCGCATAAACCTACGATTCAGTCGGCCACATTCAACATCCCAATCCCATTCTGACCATCTGACAAGTTTGGAATCCAATCTTTTTTTTTATCATTTTTGATTAGTAACTTGAGTAACCTGTTGACTTTTTCATTGACACTGCCAACATGCAGTAAGGGACATTTCTTAGCGAAAAAATTATGTCCTGCGATTGGCTATTGACTAGAGAAACTTTCTCTAGGGGCCTCGGAAATCGCTGTTAGATAGCCAATCGCATCACATTACGTCTGTCCATGTGTTCCGATATTCGCCAGTACTGAAAATATATAATTTGCGTCACGTATACTATAAATTTTCAGTACTGGCAGTGAATTTCGAATATACTTGCCCTATGTATATTTCTTGCCATTTTTAAGTTATTTATATGTAATTGATCGATCAACCAATCCCGATGTAAAACCGCGCAATTTGAACAATGAGTCATAAATTACCGAGAAGTAATCCTTGTTTTCTAAAAAACAAAAAAGGTTTCTTTTTCGTTTCTCCTCTGTTTGTCTTGCACGTACATTGTGTTTAATAAAAAGATGTGTAGGCTTTATATATGTTATAATTAATATAATAGGAAGAATACAGAAGGAGAAGCGAGTCACAAGTTCGATAACTATAAAGAATAGAGGAAACGTACGCTTAACTAATTAAAAAAATTTTATACTATAATCAAAATAGCTGCTTATACTTTTCAAGTATATATGGTTTACAAGGCTAATTTGATTTAACACACACATTATATATATATATATATACATAATAATTTTATTTCCATATATTTATGTGTATGGAAATATAATTAATGCAAGTATTAATACTATATGGCTGGCTATTGAAAGGATTAATGAACGATAAACCATTATAACTTTGACGTTACTTCACATTACTGAATAAAATAAATTTGAAGTTGTCTTGTCGTAAGCAAGTCGTTACATCGGAATGTGTGTGTGTGTGTGTGTGTGTGTACAAACATATATACATACACACATTCGAATATAAATATTTCGATATTATCGTTTGCAGAATAACGCATTACAACTGTTGTACAACCGAAATCAACTATAAAACGTAGTTGCGATAGGCTTACAGAGCACAACACGTAGAGATGTGTTACGCTACTATATATAAATACATCAAGAGACGTAGAGCAGACGTTAACCAAGCGTTACTCAACCGTAATCCACACTCAGAGCGCTTAGACCTTTCTTCTTGATCGCTTCCCCTACGGCGCGCTCCAGAAAGTCTTCCGGTTGATCACACTCGTATACTTTATCCGCATCCAACGCATTGCATCTCCCCGTTTCCACATTGCTGTAGACCGTCCCGTAGGGAAAGTCTTCGAGTTCGTACATACATTTAGATGAAAAGGAACAATCGACACCTATGCATTTACAATAATGAGGCTGAAGAGCGAGCTCGGCCGATTGGACTAAGCCGTGATTGCGGATCGCCATCGTTACCGCCGTATCCTCCATGTCGTTGCCTCTGTACGACAGATGGAACCTGGAACCGACGGACTCTTCCTCCAGAGGATCCGGCGGATGCATCATTCTATAGTAAGCCAAAACTTCATTGATGCTATTATCCATAGATCCCTCTTCCTCTTGGAAGGCCTGCCACAACTTGAGTTTCTCCTCGATCTGTATTTGGTATATGATTTCGTCGTAATCGATATTTCCCACGTTGCTGGCCGGGCTCTCCGTATTTGCATTCGTGTGCTGTTCCTAAAACAAGAATCGTTTCTTATACACACAATCCATAACTATCTCTCATACAATATAATAAGTTAAGTTAGAAGTTAGGACACAACTCGCTACATATATACAATGAAAAATGATCCCGCAAAGCCCTAAAGTCACATAGGTCACATAGGTATACGGTTTTTAACGTCATGCAAATAACAATTAACAAGTAACGATGGAACCGTCGCGCGTCGTGGTGATGCGCGACTAATTTTACCGTGTCTGAACGAGCTTCGTTGGTCTTGGACAACTGCGCGCAGTGCCGCTTAGCCGGGAAGAACTCGCACTCGTGCTCATCCGCGTCCGCGTCCGAATCCTCGTCGTCGCTCGCCACTATCTCTACCGCGCTGCGCCAGAGCTTCTTCCTGGCGCGTTCCTTGTTGCTGGCGCCCGAGAAGGGCGGAAGGACAAGTATCTCATGTTCGTCCATGTTCGCGCGCAATCCCTCGACATTCGACTCTGCAACGTCGATCGCCCCGTCGTTCCCACGAGTCTCCGCCAGGGCGTCTCTTCCTAGCGGGGCTCCCGTTCGGGCGCCCCGTCGACGACTTTTCCTTCTCTTCTTCCTCTTCGTCGTCCTCGTCGCCCTCGTTTCCCTCGCTGAGGTCTCTTTAGACGAAACGGCGTAGCCTACATCGAGAGCTCGCCTAATGGCCCTGATCCCTCTGATCCCGACGTCGGTGTCGTCGGCGATTATTTACAGCCAGAGAGAGGCCAGGCCCTGGCGGGGCGCGCGAAATCGCGCGTCACGACTCACGATTCACGACCGATGACCCGATGACGCGATGACGGTTAACCCAAAGGATCGTGGGTCGCGTCCGCGGTCAACGCGCGTAACGGCGAACGGCGGGTATCCTGGACAGAAGATTTCGAAGGTCGCGTCGAACCCGGACGACGTGACTCCGAGTCCGAGTCCGAGGGCTCACGCATCGTCAGCACCAGGCTCGCGTTTGACAGCTACAAGATGGCGGCCACCACCGCGGTCGTTGGGCACAAAGAGGACCTTAGGATACGCGACGCGCAACGTGACCGACGTGATGTTCTACCCTACGTAGCGGCTCGTCCGCGCGACGCGGAACGCCCGGAGAAATCGCGAGCCGCGCCGCGCGCGTACAGAAAACGTCGCCGTTGCGGGGGACTGCCCACCGGCCACTGCCCAGAGAACGTTCCTTTCCGTCCGACGCGTTCCACGCTCTTGAGCCACCGAGTGCCCACTGCCCACCCCACGAGTCCACGAGTGTCGAGACTGTCGAGACTGGCCGAGACGACATTGCCGACTGCCGACACTCGTGGCGAGACTGGCGAGGACTCGAGCCGAGTTCCAAGATGGCGGCGAACATGTGTTCGCCCAGCGCCTTGACGGCTTGACGGCTTGACGGCCGTCTGTCAAGGAACGGAACTCACTCGTTGTCGTTGACGTAGCTCTCCCGATCCGGGACCGGGATCTGTCCTCCCTTTTTCTCTAGACCCTTTCTTCACCCTCTAGGAACCGCCAAGCGGAGTAGCGACTATTATGGCGACCTGTGGCGAGTACATCCGCAGCCAGTTCCCGACGATAGACGACGATCTGTATCAATACGTGCAAGGTATGTACGTTGCCCGGTTGCCGTGCCGCGGAATAACCTACGCGTCACGCGATCAGATCCATCCGCGCGCGATATCGACCCATCGACCAGCTGACCAGCTCCGTTAATTTGACACGCTTGACGTCCTTCTGCACGCAGGTATCCTGGACAGCTCCAAGGATGACTTCGAGGACGGCGACGAGGTGTACGAGGCGATCGGGCAGGTGCTGCACGAGGTGGCGGACAAATCAGAAAACGAGGTTAGGTCTGTAAATGTGTTCGTACTGCCATTCTTTAACAATAAGTCTAATTAACGCCGGCCGACGAGACCGAGACGAAACGAGACGTCTTCTCGTGCACGAAAATTCCCCTCGTCCTCGTCTTCTCCTTCTCCTTCTCGCTAGCGGATCGAGGAGATTCATCGTACTTGGTTCTTTCTGTACGCAGGCAAATATGCGCGAGACTGTTGGAAATATTGAAAGGTAGTTCGAACGACGACGACATGGACAGGAGAAGAAACGGTGTTAACAAAGTATTAAACGCTCCGGTGCATCTGGGCTCGTTAGCCGCTACCTTGGAGGCGCAAGTCGAGCAGATTAAGAGTATATGGGTTACGACCAGAGACGACGCGATGGTAATGTGTAATGTATATTATGTACAGTACAACTGTACTCTCGGCTTATTCCGAATAATTAATGTAATTTATTTTGCTCGCATATATAGATCTTTCGTATCTCCTATCGACGTATTCTACTCGACTATCTATGCATATTATTATATTAACTTTCGCAAACTTTTAATTTTCTTGCCTACTTTAACGTTTATTTTCGTGCCATTTGTATGTTAATATTGTTCATTACGTTTATTACGACAGAAAGTAGACGCCAAGAAGCTGGAGAAAGCCGAGGCCAAGTTGCAACAGAAACAGGAAAGACGAATCGTAAATGAGCAGGGGTCGGCTTCCCGTGTTAACACTGCCAATCATGCGGTTGAAAGCGCGGCTAGCGCCAGTCAAATGACGAGTAAGAAGGATAATCGGATGGAGACGAAAGGTGGGGTGAACAAAAGCCAGGATATCAGAATAGAGAACTTTGATGTCGCTTATGGCGATAGAGTGTTGTTGCAAGGTGCTGACTTGACGCTTGCATTTGGCAGGCGATACGGTCTGATAGGTAGAAACGGACTCGGCAAAACCACTCTGCTTCGAATGATATCGAGGTATTGTTCTCTGGCGATATGTCTCGTCGCTAATCGTTGGCACGTTGGCACGACGTTTCCGATTAACGCGGATCAATCTCGATTGCTTTTAGCAAGCAGCTGAGAATACCGTCGCACGTGCGAGTTTTGCACGTGGAGCAGGAGGTAGCCGGCGACGACACGTCTGCAATCGAATCCGTTCTGGAGTGCGATCAGGAACGGAGCGCGTTGCTCAGTCAGGAGGCCAAGTTGCAAGCAGCGATAGAAAAGGACGGCTCCAAGGCGGGTGACGCGTTAGGCGAGGAATTGGCTCGGGTGTACGAAGCGATGCAGTTAGCCGAGGTCGACAAGGCGCCCGCTAGGGCAAGCGCGATCCTGTCGGGACTCGGATTCTCCGTCGAGAGACAATCCTGGCCAACAAAAGCGTTCTCCGGCGGCTGGCGGATGAGACTCGCTCTCGCGAGGGCACTCTTCTCCAAGCCGGACCTGTTGCTGCTTGACGAGCCGACCAACATGCTCGATATCAAAGCGATACTGTGGTTGGAAAAGTATCTGCAAACTTGGCCGAAAACGTTACTCGTAGTGTCGCACGATCGAAAGTTTTTAGACACGGTACGCGCGTTTACGGTTTTTTTTTTTAAATCTAAAAAAGCGATGTTAGGAATGCTAATAATATCTTCACGTCCAAATCATATTTTGAAATTAACGTAACAATCCAACTTTCTACATATATACTTATCGTTATTTATCTTATCTTTAACTCTCCAACAGGTGCCCACTGATATTCTCTATCTACGTGGACAAAAAATAGAGGCGTATCGTGGCAATTATGAGCAATTTGTGAAAACGAAAGGCGAACGGGAGAGGAACCAACAACGAGAGTACGAAGCTCAACAGGCTAAAAGAGCGCACGTACAGGAATTTATCGACAGATTCCGATACAATGCGAATCGCGCGTCTAGTGTACAAAGCAAGATAAAGATGTTAGAGAAATTGTAAGTTTAACGATTCGATCGCAACAATCTGCTCTCGTCTACGATCAAAATTTACATTTTCTTTATGTCCGTTTACTTGGCAGACCTGAGTTAAAACCAATGGAAAAGGAAAGTGAAGTGACCCTCAATTTTCCCGACGTCGAACCGTTAAGTCCGCCGATATTGCAGCTTAACGAAGTCTCGTACAGTTACAACGGGACCGACATGGTATTTAGCAATGTGAATCTTACTGCCAGTCTGCAATCGCGCATTTGTATCGTAGGGGAAAACGGTGCTGGTAAAACTACCCTCTTGAAAATTATCACGGGCGCATTGAGTCCAATGCGAGGCACGGTGCATGTACACCGAAATCTCAAGTTCGGATACTTCAGTCAGCATCACGTTGATCAACTGGACATGCGTGTTTGTCCCGTCGAATTGTTACAAACGCATTTTCCCGGTACGTAATTACGGTACGCAAACGCGCGACCCATTAAAAAATAAAAAAAAAATGAAAATGTTAACGATTACCTTTCGCTCTGGTAGGTAAACCAATCGAAGAATATAGGCGAATGCTCGGAAGTTTCGGCATAAGCGGCAATCTGGCTCTGCAAACTATAAACTCCCTTTCGGGAGGGCAGAAATCTAGGGTAGCGTTTGCGTTAATGTGCGCCGCGATGCCGAATTTCCTAGTGCTCGACGAGCCCACGAATCATCTCGATATCGAATCGATCGAAGCATTGGGAAAAGCTCTCAACAACTGCCATGTGAGTATTCACTATTATTTTTTTTTATGACGAGCGTTATAGATCTAATTTCAACATTCTTAACTTTTCGTGCGTATGTGATTCAATTAATATCTAATTGTTGCAGGCTGGTGTAATATTGGTGTCGCACGATGAACGTTTAATTCAAATGGTTTGTACAGAATTGTGGGTTTGCGGGGAAGGATCAGTTCGCTGTATCGAAGAAGGCTTCGACGAGTATCGCAGAATCATTGAGAAGGAGCTTGAATTATAAAAAGTTAAGTTTTTTGTCTAATGTGATATCGTCATCTTACGTTGTCCTACCGAATAATGCATCATGATAAACGTTCTAAAGAAGTATCGTCTTTAATTAAAATTATTTTTTTCGAGATATTTCATCGCCAAAGGTATGTTATTTATTTTTTTAATGCTTTTTCCGAAACAAATATAGTGACCATTAATTATATATGCACGATTTATTTATTAACTTGACACGTCTCTCCTCCTTGATAACTACGAAATGTAACTCTTGCCCGAAAAAAGAAATTATTATCATTAATTATATTTATCTTCCTTTAAAATGCATTGTACTAAAGCAAACTGTTCGACTGTGCAGGTCAATAGGCAATAGAATTTGAAAAAAGATTTACATATTTAATATTACTCTATTATGAAGAAAAAGTAATAAAAGATATTGTTAGATAAAAGAATGTTCTATTTCATTTGAAAATATATTGACCACTGTTACCATTCTGCATGTATATATAAAGATTGTATTTTTATTAAACAATATTAATACAATTATTTTTTAAGTCAACGAATTGCTGCTATGTATGTATGTGTGTACAATCGTTTATTAGTATTGAAAAATAAGTTGTATCTTTATATATTTTAGCCTTTGTTAACGTCTAAAATAATTATCAATGGTCGACGAATTTATTATATATCGATACAATGTCTTGAATTAACGATTTTGGCGTGATATTTATTCATTTTACAGAGGTAAATAAGAAAAATGTAATACAATAAGTAAGAAGATTAAATGAGTATGTTGTTTTTAGAATGAAAATAAATGTGCCTTCCACTTTAATCTCTTTTAGATTTCTGTTAGATAATAACAGGCCTAGAATTTCTAACAATTCTTTTACACAACACGCACGCACATACACACACGCGCGCACACACACACACACACACATGTATATGTAAATATGTACATATATTTATATATGCATGTGTGTGTATATGTAAGTATAATCTATATTAAATATACTCTTTTTCTCCTAAGATAAACTGTACAGAAAATATTGTCTAAAACATTTTATTGTATAACTGGGTTCGCGAATTCGGAAAATCTTTCTCTTTCTCTCAAACTTTTATACTTTGCCGATTCACACTTTTCATGCTCACTTAGTTTAACATTTTATTTTATTGTGGCAGCATCGAGAAGTTTTTAAATAATATCAATGCACAAAGCAGTGATTTAAGTATGCACAGATTTCAATATGCCAAAGAGGTCGCGTTGTGTTGCCACTGTTTACTCCCAGACGAAGTATTTAACGAATGCAGGGTGTTAGGAGTAGATGATGGTTGAAGAGGTGGAGCTGGTGCTTGTTGCTTTGCTGCTGTAATTTTTGAAACGCCACGATTATTTTCCGTTCACAACGGAGCAATGTACGGAGCTTATAAATTCCATTATGAATATTCATGAAAGTGCAATTAGCAGCATGCAGTTTAATTTATACGTATGCATGCCCCTGGTATATGGTTTATAACAAATATGAGCTGTTTGTGTCATACGCGCTTAGGGTCTTCATGTCTTGTATTTTTGCTGGAAGATAGAGAAGCAGCGTCAACAGAAGTTAGTAGTTGTTTGAAAGAAACCTTGAAAAATGTCATAAAAACCAAAGAAACATAGGATGTCGTGTACAACACATCGTGCAACAGACATGCGTATGAATTATATGTATACGCATCCTACGAGAGATCGCATTAGTAAGTTTTAATTGCAACATGCACGTACTCGGGGATACGATTAAGATTAAAGGATACGCATATGGATGTGCATTATAGGCATTATAGGAAGCGCTGTGTGTTTGTTTTAGCTAGAACGAAGAAGAATGTATAATTCTCATCATCATCTCAAGCGTCAAGTGCTCTATAACGATAAGTCAAAGAATATGTTTTGTCGAGTGCTCTTACCGTTCCTGCTACTATAAACCTTTGCGAAGGCTCTGAAGGGTTCCGGTGGTGGAAAACTCGACGTGGCGTGAAACATCTCGGCGAATCGTACCTCCAGATCGACGGAGGTTCCCGCCTGGCCGCCGCCGTTGCGCACGGACAGACTCCTGGTAGGAGGCGTCGGCGGCGGCGGCGGCGGCGGTGCCAGTCTCTGATGCGTGGGTGCGGGACGATGGGGAAGCGGCGGTGGTGGTGGCGGTATACACGGCGCGGTGACCGTGACCCTCGACGGCGGCGGCGGCGCCGCTCTCATCACGGTAATCGGCATCGTGTGCGACCGCGAGGCCGGCGGTGCTGGCGGTGACGGTGGCCTCGTCGTAGGCATGATCGCTCGCGAGATCGGCGGTGACGGTGGTCTCGTCACGGGTGGCCTAAGAACTCGATTCGCGGGTCTCGTCGGCTGCGGCGTCGCAGCTTCGTTCAAACAATCCTGCGACTGGTGCAAGGAAGACGGCACCAGGACCGGAGGTGATCGCGGTAGTCGCATGCTCTGCGCCCTCGCCACACTCGCGGCGCTACTCGTCAGATTCAGCTTTTTAGGCGGCGGCGACGGTTTCTGCAGGGTGGCAAACGGCGCTGGTTTAGGCACGATGGGTGATTTCGCGAATCCTCTGGGTGCAACCTCCGGATTGCTCGTCGTGGAATCGGTGGTACTTTGCCCCTGTGTGCGAGATTAACGATAACTTTACTTAATATATATACGCGCGAGTTATGCGAGAGTCAATTAAGCAGCTCGTCGCTTCTTCTACCTGACTGAATATCTGCGGTTTTTGCGCGGCTGGAGGCGGAACTGGAGGCGGGCCACGTTTCATACTGTGGGACGATCCAGGTGACGAATGAAGAAAGCTAGAATTATTTACACTCTGTCCCTCCTTCTCGGTCATGTTTCCTCTAAGTCCCGTAGGTTTTAATTTTGGCATACCACCCGCGAATAAACCGCCCAGCGACATGGGCCCACCATTGCTGGACGCAGTGGTGGTGGTAGTGGTGCCGCTGCTGCTGTTACTGTTGCCGCTGCTCATTCCACTACTAGAGCTATTAGTTCTACTACTGCTATTGCTTAACAAAGAGTTCATCGATTCGCCTTTTACTCTCCCTGCGAAACAAATATCCCTCATTAGTTCCTAACTGTCAACTTACCATGATTACTCTGTATATTTTTGCTTTCCACGTTGACGGTTGATATGGCACAATGGCCCATGATACACAGACTTAGTTTGCTTTAGGCGGAGTTTAACGATTTACCAGCAACAGCAGGCACGCTCTTATCCACGGTAACAGTCTTCTTCAGAGTTTTGCCGGCCCTTATGGACTGCAGCAACATGCCCCTGTTATCGCCCACTGGTGGGCCAGCAGAAGCACCAGCCGCACCAGCCTGCGGAGGCGGTGGCGGAGGTGGCACAGACATTCTCGCTATCCTCCTGCAAAGAACGATGAGAAATATTATAGTACGCTGGTAGTCCATCCCGATATAGAAAATAAAGAGAGAGCGAGAGAGAGGGACGTATTAAGATGCGACGTTCTCTCGTCAGAGAAATGTCAAGCATATTGCAATACGACAGATATATCTACAGGATCTATCTCTAATTTGACGGCCATTATTTACGATTTACGATTTCGGTTCGTTCCACCGAGATGTGTCATTCGCTGGGGGGGAGGGCCGGGGGAGAGAGGAGGGATCGGCCGTTTCCGTTTTCGGAGCACAGGTAGAGAAGATCCAAGAGACAACGGAGCCTGCCCCGGGGGGGTCGCGGTGACCGGTGTCCGGTGTGTGCGGACCCCCGGCACCCCCGCCGATGAATCCCTTAGGGTCCACGGGTTAAGTAGTTGGGTTCTCACGCCGAGTCACGCGCGTTCACACGCGTTGACGTGTGCGGGAGAGAAAGAGGCCGAGAGAGAGAAAAAGAGAGAAAGAGAGGCACAGGCACACCTCGGCAGCAGCCGCTTTTTGTCTCTAACCGCCACCCGCCACTCTACGCGACGTTGCGCGACGTCAGGCGCGTGCGATCCGCGATCTGACCGCTGACGGTGGACGACGGGATGCGAGCGATTACCGGATTAAACGGCGGTCGGCGGTCGCTGATGCGTTCACGTCCGGAGGAAGGATCCGCGGCCGATGGTACTCATGATTAAAAAAGGGAGCCTGGCTGGGCTGGATCCGCGCCTACACGATCCGCGGCTGTGCGACGTGCAACACGGCGACGTAGATCATGGCGTCATCAGGGATCCATCGAGGTTGGGCGGTTGGGTTGGGGGTCCGTGACTCCGCGCACTCCGCCCCCGTCCCTCCGCTCGCCGTTCGCCGTGTCCGTCACTCTATTTCCATCCATTTCCAGCTGGCCTCCAGAGCCATCTTTAAACCGATGATAAAACCAGAAAATAAACGACATAAACGTTCCTAATCCTCTCCTTGTATTTTAAAATATTATTTTAATTATTTGTCCTACCTAGTGCTTAGCGAGTTACTTCCAGGGATAAACAATTTTTCGAGGCCGTAAGTAATCCAGATATGATATAACTGAAATGCGTGTCGCGTTTCAAGCTCGTCTAAATAATTATCTTAAGTATTAGTGGCAACCTAAAAATAACCTAAAAACTTGAAAAAGTTGAAAAAACTCCATTTTAGAGCTCTATCTTTTTATTCCGTTTCACATAAAATAATACATTGTACGTTAATGTTTTAGAATGAGATAGAATAAAATAGAACTTTGTTCAAAAAATTTTTATTCCTGAATATTATTAAAGTTTTATGAAAATAATTATTCTCCATTAGATGGAGCCTATGACTCTAGGATCACCGATGAATAGTCCTATCCAAGGTCCTGGTAGTCCAGGAGGTTCTTCCTCGTATTTGCCAAGTTTTCTCTTGGGTGACACTAACACTGTGAGAGAAAACAATATATTTTATTATTATTTGAAAGATATACCATATACCACATCGTTAACGTCTGTTTGTAAAATTGTAGCCCGCAAAGATCAACATAATGAGTCCTCAGGATAATCCGCGTCATTTGAATATCACCAATGCCAGTCTGATGTCGTCAGTTTCCTATGGATCTCCAGATTATCGGTCGAATCGTCAGAAGGCGGTATTTGGAAACACTACGACTCCTAGTACGCCACAAATGAGCACAAAGAATCATACCGGAGGACCGCCGACACGCGGACTGTTCGACACTCTGGAAGTCACCCATGCGTCGTTGTCGTCGGCTGCGCCAGCCATGAATCCAGCTGTCACAACCACGCCTGTAAATCAATCCAAACTCATGACGAGTACGTTAGCCAGCCCGCTCATGTTTCCAGACAGTTCGATAAATTTGAACACGAGCGAATCACATAGTTTGCTCCAATGGGTAACCGTTTTTGGCTTCTTGCCGATCGATGTCAATGCCGTTCTGTCTCACATATCTAGTAGAGTTCGTATAGTGGATAAACATCCGGCTCCGCAACCTCAAAGCAATTGGATACATCTCAAGTGTGCGTCAGAGCAGGAAGCGCAAAAGGCTCTTATGTGCAACGGTAGTATCGTTTCGGGCACGATTATGATTGGCGTCATACCATGTACGGACGAGGGTGTCGTTTTGGGCTGCGATAAAGAAAATCGTGCCAAGCTGAACGGTAGCATGAGATCGCTCTCAATGAGTAGAATCAGTCAATCTCCATTCAACGTCGTGTCGCCTACCGCGAGACGACGAAAGCTGAGATCTTTAGCAGCGGGTTACAATCAACATTTTAGCCCGCAAGCCGCGCAAGTGCCGGAGAATGTTCCACAAAAGTCGGCCAGTTTAGTTTCAAAAGCGATGGAATATATGTTTGGTTGGTAGTTGTGCTCTTTTTTTTGTAATAATTATACATCGTGAACTTTACATTGTGAAATATATTAAAGATTGTAGAAAAGGAATTGTGAAAGACAATATATGAATCTCTTGGAAAGAGATTTTTAACTGAAACTAACTTGAAACTTAAACGAAATTATTGTCTATTATCCTAAAAATAAACTTTTCTAAAATTGAAAATCATAACGATTATGGATGTCTTTGTAGGCTGTTACTTTTTTAAGATTAAGTATGGATATTATATGTATTAAGTATTATATTTGTATGTATCTTTACAATTATATAGAACGGCTAATAGCCAGAGTCATGTTGCAAATCTTTTGCGTGATTTTGTGTGTGTGTGTGTGTGTGTGAGTGTGTTTCTAGTAAATATTGCATGTACGCAAAATAGTTGAAAATAGCTCTACCGGCTCTACCTGTATTATGTTAATGTTAAATACCGAAAGACATAAGAAATATTACAATAATTCTTATTTCCTACAGCAATTAAAACAATGATGCATCAATTTCATTACATTCCTATTATAATCAATACCTTAATGATTCTACACACCATATATCTCTCTCTGTCTGTCTCTCTCTCTCTCTCTCTCTCTCTCACCCATACACACGCTTGGTATGCAAGGTTAAAATTTGGATATAATTTCCTACGAAATAAACAGCAATTTATACAAAATTACACTTAAAGGTGACTTGAAGACATTCATCTATCTCATTCATAAATAAAACTGAGAAATGCTCCCAATCTCTGTCTACTATAAAATTATTTTGTATCCTCAATTGTGGCACTACCGAGATCGGTCATCTTAGGATACTTGACTTTTTTCTTGTCCAACTCGTCTTGAGCCCACAGTATCATTTTTAACAGATTGTTAAGCCGAGGGCTGGTAGATTCCCTGTGCTCCATTTTCAATATAGCGGCGTTCAATTCGCTCGCAATCTGTAAATGGCGCAATAATGAAAAATTAACTTGAGAACTATCGATATCGACTTGAGAAACTGAACACTAAAAAATGAATAATACTCACTTTCTGCCTGTGTGTTGGATGTAGAAGATCGCTGAACGGACTCTTATGTGGCTCGTCAAAGGCCAACAGGGCCAATGTACGTTCCAACTCGCACAATATATTATCATCCGACTCGCCGGCTTCGCTGAGTTGATCCTGGGCAAACTGGAGCGCCTCCTCGACTCTGCCTGTGCGTATCAGTTCAATCAGGTGCAACTGTTGCAGATGAAAGTAGAGATATCTGTCGTTGTCCAACAGTTCGGGATGCAGCTGATTCACCAAGTCCGTCGCTTCCTGGATACGACCGTTTTGTATGGCATCTCGAATACGGATCCTGTCGTCCAGAGAGCTCAGTTCTACCGTTGGACCCACTCCCGACTCTTGCTGGAACTTCTCGGCGGCCTCCTTGAATCCTTCTACTCAACGAAATGTTTCGTTATTTGGTTCGGACAATACCTTCATACCTTCAATAACGTCAGATTGCGATGGGCTTGAGAATTTATTACCTGTGACTAGATAATTCATGATTAGGTTGTTCATTGACATTTTTTGTATGTAGGAGCTCTCCTCCAACTTTGACATCCATTCCTCCTTGGATATGCTATCCTGTCCTTTCTCCGAAGAAAAACTCATTGTTTTGTCAACGATTTGGCTCGACCAGGCTCGACTTGTCGCGGAATCTACAGGCGTTTATAGCATTATGCTTATTGTTAGTCGCTTCGCTTGAGAACAACCGTAACAGCTGATTAGCTCGAAAAACGAAAGCTGACTCTGCTGACTAGTGACTGTTCTGGAATCTGGCGGATCTGGCCTGCCTGACCCTGGCCGTGGCGGTGTAGCGCGTTGGCAGAAGGGGCGGAAGCTCGACCAAAACAAAAGAAAATATCACTTCTCTTTGCCAATCTACGGTGATTCTAAAATATTCTAAATCACTGACGAGAGTGAGTTCAGAGTTGCGAGTTCCCGATGGAGAAGCAACGAGAGTAGACGTAGACGTAGACGAAGACGGAGCGCGTTCGACGAGTTCGGTCTGATCACTGATTAAAGTAGTTTTCTGCTTCTGTCCCGTTCTGCCAAGACGGCCAAGACGTCCCGACTGTCGGAGCGATAAGCAGCGCGTCTGCTCGCGTCGCGAATCGGAGCGACAAATCGACACGCGAGAACCTTTCAAGTTTCAAGAGCACCTCAAGAGCATGTAAAAACAAAACAAAATAAGAATCAAGAAAGAGAACGGAACACTTGTCATTAAACGAACCGACCAATCGTGATTTAGCATCCTCGAAAATTCCTATTCCCCATATGGAGGATGACGTGTGATTGGTCTATTCGTTTATCATTTGAGTCTCGCTGCTTCGCGTTTGCAATGCACGTCTTGCGAAAATTAACTACACTTTAGATACAACAGATGGCGCTAGATGGTCTAAAACCAAACCAGTGCTTTTGTGGTTTATACTTGAGGCGGGAGGGGGGAGTGGAATGGTCAGGAATGTTTAATATTCTTTATCACTTTAAATTAAAAGACCGCGTGAGAGAGGCAGCTTACAGTGGTGGTCTTTCAGCATCTTATTTTTAAACAATACCTCATTATCAAAGTTGAGAATGTTTATTTCTCAGTTCATTTATGTATTTAATTCTCACTCGAATCACAAAACGAGAGTCAATTTAGAATAAATCGATTATCATTATTATAACGTGTTAAGACGTAAAAGTGTTATTTCGTAGCGAAACGAAGAATAGCACGTTATTAAGCTAGTTTCCCAAATTGAAAACGTGATGTAGGTATATATAGTTTGTTACGTTGCATTCTTTCGCATAAAAATCTTTATATAGGTAATATCTATAATATATGTATATCAAAGGAACGTGTCACGAGAGCGAGGTGGGGCTTGGGGCCCGCGCCCGCGCCGGCGGGTTCTCTGTGTTGCCCCGTTTCACCGTTGGCTGTTTTCATGAATGAAACCGCTCCTGCAGTCCTGCCGCGTATCAACAGGCGTCCTTTACTACGCAGCGGGAACATCGATCCGTTCCTTCGGGACCGTCCCCTTCTCTATCCCTACGAACTCGTTACATTTCGCGCTGTATGTATGTATGTACATTGTGCATATATGTATATGTACACAGGGTGGTAGCGCGCGAGAGTGCTCTACGCTGCGACATCGCCGCGTCGCGTCGTTCGATTAGAACGCTCGATTAAAACTTGTGCGTTTTAATATATAATTTCTAATCAAATGTGTGAGATATATCGCGGCTAATCTCACCGTCGCGTCACGTCGCGTCGCGTCGCGTCACTCGCGTCGGCAATACGCCGAAATCCGTAGGCGTGACATACGTTCGACGATTCTCTGAAACGCCTCTCTCTGTACCCTGACAGAAGCCCGAGAGACGGGAGACGGGTGACGGGAGAGACTCGAATCGCGTAACTCTATCGGTACAGATAACGTGCGTCATGTTGAATGTTTCATTGTCAGTTTCTCGCGCACCGCGATTATTGGAAATTCTCTCCACGCGAAAGAGATGCAACACGTCTCTCATTCGTGATTTTTAATATTATATATATATACGCATGCAGTATATATATTTATCATCCAAACCCAGAGGTGGAGTTGCGCGTTTTTTCTTTTCATCCCTATTAATCAGGAACGTATCGATCGTTTATCGCTTATCTAATAGTATATAATAAGTATAAGCGACTGACTAATTACGAGTTCGTCTTGAGTCTCAAGTCTCAAATGTCATAAAAATGGAGTAACACGAACAACACGCGTCGACGTACGCATCGTCGTCGGCCAGCTCAAAACGCAAGACGTAATTGTCGTAATTAATTGTAAGACGCGCCATCGACAAGCGCGAGCTGTTAAATCTCGTGAATGATACGCGATACGCGAGCAAATAAATGTCGGAAAGAAGGTCGGGGGCCGGGGGCCGGGACGCTGCTCGCGTGACGTCACTGTATTCTCGCTCTCGCACCACTCCGTACTCCGTCGCGCCGCGCCTCGCCAGTCGCAGGTCGCAGGTCGCAGGGGTTTCGCCCCTCCATTAACCCTCACTCTTTGGCCGGTCGTGGCTCGTGGCACGGGGAATGGGGCACGGGGATTCGCCACTTGACAGACTCGAAAGACTGACGTCAATAGGAGTCCGGCCTATCCGGGTGGCGGGAGAGTTGAGGACAAGGGGAAGATGCGCGGCTCGGTGAAAGCTTAATACGCGATTTTGCGAAACGTGAGAAACGTCCTCGTCGGCTCATCCCTTCGTCCCGCCGGTCCCGCGTCCCTCGTCTCTCGCTCCCTCGGCGTCCTCGGCGATCGGTCGGCCGGCTCGGCTCGGCTCGGTTCGGCTCGACCGATCGACCGTCTCGACTCTCGACGGAGATGAGGCGAAAAGCTCGCGACTGGCTTTTCCCTCTTTATTAGAAAAGGCGAGGGTGTGGCGCGCAAACCACAAATCGGAAACTCGGCCAGTATCGCGTGCCGTCCGTTTTCCTCTTTCGTTCAACTTTTATCACGCTCGGCGTCAACGCGGTCAACGTCAGTCAGGTAATTTGCGCCAAGGCGCAATCCCACCGAGCTGCTGCCCACGGCCCACGACCCACGACCCATGGCTTTGGGTGGGAGGTGGGAGGATCGGGAGGATTGCTGTGGCGGAGGGTTAGGATACAAATTCCAGAGAAAGGAAGGGATGAGAGAGAGATTTCTGCGTAGAAAAACTTGGTAAGGAATAAGATATAAGTAGTATATTTGAGATATTCTAAAATAAAGAGTAAAAGAGTGATTACCGGAGTACCATTCATAAGTCTTCCGGTATTTCACGTAATTTCCGATCCTACAACTCGATCCAACACGTTACTCACGCTCTCTTTTAATATCAATATCGTTCTCTCTCTCTCTCTCTCTCTCTCTGCTTAATCTCTCGATGAATTTCCGTTAAAAATCGATCCCCGCCGACGCGACGATATTTTCTATTCCCTCTGCCGGCTCTGTTTGTTTGGGTTTGGCCGACTTGCGAACGCGGTAGCGGGAGCGGTAGCGTATGTAGCGTATCGCGAATCATCAGGTGCTACTTCAACCGAGAAGCAAGAAGTAAACAAGGCGCGAATGCGCTAAAATAACGTAGCTCGTAAATCATCGCGAGCAAATGGTTATAGCGAGTAATAGATAAGATATATATTTCCAAGCGCGAAACATTTACCCGAGAGAGAGAGAGGAAACATTCATTACGCTTTCGTATTAAGGTCGCTGCGAGAGTACTTTCCGCGTAATAAATCAGCACAATTGAAGAGAGGCGCAAGAAATGGAATCTTACATCTGCGGAGATGGCGAATTATATTAATCCCCTTCGGGCGCGGGGCGAGGGCGCGAGAAACAGGTAGAATCTGGAATCGATCTCGTCGCTCTCCGAGCGAACGACGACGAATGTAACTTTCAATTAAACTTTCTAGCAGTGAGAAATTTTCTCAACCGTTATTTCATTGTCTAGAACATTTTGCGAGGCGAGACACATTGCGCGTTTATGCATTGCTTAATTATATGGCTTATGGAGAGCCTCCGATGCGACGGAACTTTTTGCTTCTAGCATTTTCGCAGCCACTTAATTGCCACTTTCGTGTCAACGTCTCAATCTCGACTCGCGGGCGCGTTAAATTGTCCTGGTTCGATCGTGTCATATACGAGAAGCGACCTGGCGCGCAAAATATGCTCCAGCGAGGAGGGTCTTTAACAAATACTTATTTCCCCGAAACGTAAGTAAAACGTTCCTGGAATTTTACTGCAATGAAATTAATAGATGGATTTTTCAATCGATCCCTCGAGATAATGGGGGAGGTGGTTACATGCTCTCGGGAAATGGACTAATGGACACGATTGCGCGCACTTATGTCCTATGTCCGGAGATGATATCAATGGAAATAGTCGCCGGCCATCGCGTATCTGCCTATGACGTTCGCGATTCGCGACTGTGACAAATCCGGCAGAGGCAATTTCAATTTTGAGATATAAGACATGGAGAATATGGAGATGGAGATGTCTTCTTCATTATACATATATATTTATATAGGACCTATGTACATGTATAAAATTTAGCACACTTGTGTATTAAACTAAAAGATGTAATACCTTTTTATTAAGCATCAGTAAAGTGTGCCACGAACTAGAAACAAATATATATGGCACCCGCGCTATTATTATCAACAGAATTCGTCACGACGTGTAGATATCGTCTAAAATCGGTAGAGTTCATTTTTAGATTTATAATTCACGACAGAATTTGGGGCAGAATTCTATTTATAATTTTATGTGTCGTGTGTAATATTATACATCGGATAATTGACCTGGAGAACCTGCAGGCTGTACACGCATACAAAAAGCACGCGACATGAAATTATAAATAGAAACCCGTCGCGTCGTCGTTCCGAATCCTGTCGATATGTCGTTGCGAATTTATGAATCATTCAAATGTAGGCTTTAAGCCGGAGAAATTCCGAACATCGTCATCGACATCAAAATTACTTACGTCGAACTGTACGAATATATGTTAAGTGTATATCGTCAAAATAAATATTATCGCAGAGTAAACGCTATTTACAATACGCGCGAAAATAGTCCACGTCTACGACCTCGATCATCGATGTCAGTTTTCGTTTCGCTCTTCAAGGGGTGAGTTCCCTCGCAGCTATACCAAGGTTCATCCGTTAATGCTATCGGACATAATATTACTTTAAGTGCAGCGACGTCATTCCCGGGAGTTATTTAGACATATATTTATAAAATTCGGAGCCATTTCTTTACAGAGCAGCGGGCTTCCCATAGTCATAGTCACGTACGGACCTTTTGCAAAAATAAAGCAGCAAGATATTCGCATGAATATTTCCCAAAGACAGTACTGTATCTGACTGTACATACATATATATGTATATATATATACAAATGAATAGCGCGGTCCAAGTCAATAAAAATAAAAAGATCCTATTCTTTTTCCTCTCAAAATAAAGAAGGCGACCTGTATAACTATATTCCTCCAACAGATTATATATATTTCGAGTTACGCGGAGATCGTCAAGTCGCGGTCTGCTGACGCGAGAAAAAATATATAGCCCCTCCACCCCCTACTCACCCACCCCTCATCTCGGCACGATTCTCGGTGTGGGGGAAGCGGAGAGAGGAGAAGCGCGCGTGGGCGCGTAACATTCTCGCGTGGGCGTATGGCCTGTTGCGGGGGCTGAAGCTAGGTGATTGGAGACGAATACAGAACGAGGGATGGAAGCCAGAGAGAGAGAGAGAGAGAGAGAGAGAGAGAGAGAGAGATCGTTGCGAGATCGTTGTTGGATTTTCACTCCTAAACACGAGCATCCACATCCCCCACAAGACGTAATTTGTTTTGACTTTGTCGATATAATTTACATGAATCATGGGAATCGAGAGAAAAGCAACCTTCCAAGGGTACCTTCAGAGATTAGGAAATCTAACAACTTTGAAATTTTTCATTACGTTATATCGTCAATCATATTTCTCGTATGAATTACATGTATAATACGGTTTGTGTTTGTAGATGAAAATTTTCCAAGATTAAAATATTAAATTATATAAATACATATACGAGATTGGGACATACGAAATGTGTAATAGTAAAGTCAAGGCAAATTCAAATTCGAAGCGCAAACGTTGAAGCGAATAAGAGTTCGATAGGTTTACTGTTTCAATTTCTTACTTTTCATATATTTTTTAGATTAAAAAAAAATGTAAAATAAAGAAGCCAAAAAACGTTTCTATTAAAATTTTATATATATTATATCCTTTTAACACTTTTTCTATTACAACTGATTCTTTGATCGTCGTTGTGCCGATTTCTTTTACTGGAAACTGGAAACATTCGCATTGAGAAAATAAATATTTGAGAAGTGGAGATTGGGACGGTAGATAATGTGCCGGTTGAAAATACACACGGCTCTAACACACTACTTAAGTATACATGTTTCCCCTGTCATAGACCGTAGAACCGCGTCGCGTACAACGTCACCGTTTCAAATGCCAAAGAAAACTACCCCTATGACGTTTGCGTAACCGCCACATTAATATTAAAGACAAACAGGTAACGTCATCGTAGCCGTTATGTGACGCAGTGCCGGTTGCTATGCCCGCGGTGGCCGCGGTAGGGGGTGTTTTAACTTTCTATTAATTCTTCCGAGTGTCTGTGGCTTGCGTTTTACTTTGGCGATGGAGTATCGCGCTAACAATAACGAAACGTGGCAGTTTTTTTTTCTTTTACGTTGCTTCTTCAATTTAACGCTAGACTGAAGGTATAAAAATGCAAGATTATCTCCGTTCTTAAAAGATCCGCTCTTATATATTCATAGAGAAAATTTTAAATATATAAAAGCTGCAAAGCACACATATATACACAGGAATAGCTTAACAGAGGACATAAATAATCGCATACTTTGCAGTTCCTCCTCGATCCTGCTAAGGTGAAGGCTGCATTCTTTCAAGATAAGGCGATCCGTGTACGTTTAGCGGTCGCGTTGATTGTGTCATGAGTTTCAAAGGCTGACAGAAGAGCGTAAACGGATCTGTGTCCCTTTACCGAAGAGGAATGCCATTCGGATTACAGAAATATCGAATTATCGGCAATAAGAATTGTGTAGACGCCGAATAACGCCGTTCTTGCTTCCCTCTCCAGCCCCCTCCCCTCCCTCTCCATCTTTTGTAGAAGACGTAGAGAGGCGGGGGGGAATCCTTCTTCATACAGGATTCAATAATGTCAGAGGAGCAACATTAGAATGCTTCAATGAGAAAACGGCTTTAAGCTTGCAATTAGAGAAAGAAAATTAAAGGCTACCTTTATGTATTCGATGTCGTTAGCGAGATGCAGAGAGAGAGAGAGAGAGAGAGAGAGACTCGCCACCCCCGTATTGTGACTTTCAAATCGAAGCGATGACGCTCGATAACGCCGATTGACAGCAAAATAACAACATAATTCCCACGCAAAGCGATCCTTACGACGCCACGTCGTTCCTACGTAAGCCGGGGCCGGGGCCGGGGCCGGGGCCGGGGCCAGGATCCGTCGGGAAGACGTAGTTGGGTCATCGCGTGGGCAGAGACGTCTTTTATATCAACGACGAGATCGTGATCGTGTACGCGTACTCACACGCCCCGTTGGCGTCGTGTGCGAGGAAACGCAGCGCGCGCGCACCCGTCGTCGTAGGGTGCTCGCCACCGCGAGTCGAGAGATGGGGAATGCTCGTTCACCAAGGTGGGGGTTGGTTGATCGACCGTACCCGCTTTTCTGCTCGTCCTGCCGAGAGCCGAGCCCCGACATTCATTCCACCCCGAGCCGGCGGATCCGCTAGGACGTGCCCGTTCTCCACCTGGTCAGCCAAGAAGGAGCCAGCCGAAGGAGCCCAAGGACTACCGCGAGAGGAAGGCGAAGAGCGAAGGGACGAGCGTCCGCGTAAAAGGGCAAGCCGGCGAAATCGCTGCGTCTCGAAAGGTAGACGATCAACTTGCTCGCAGAGTTTCTTTCACTCTTGATCCCGTTGCCGAAAATCAACGGGGAAAAACCGATTCTCAGATAATGAAACTCGAACGATGAAAATGTAATTGTAAACGCATTTTATCGCCCGTCACGTAGCCAGCCACTTTTCGCGCATTCATACAGGTAGTTGCGCGCGCGGTCTTAAATCAACCTTCACTTTATTCCATGTAATAATATTAAATTTCGGTGATAGAAGGAAGATTCACACATTTATATGTCTGTCTTTGAAGAAATTTCAACACAGCTGGCTACGTGCGCGCGCGCGCGTGGGTGCATGTGCGTGTGTGTGTGTGTGGGTGTGTGCGTCGTGTGTGTGTTTCTCGGGGTTGAATGTAAATAATTTTACGATTCTGTCAGTAACCCTTTTTGAAATGATAATGCGCGCGCGTGTGTGTGTCTGTACTTTTCAATTCTATATTCTAATTGTAACAAGTTACATAAAATTAATTACGGCGGTGCGTAGGACGTGCGTGAGGGAAGGCTTTTACGCACACTTAATTAATTACGTCAACGAGAACTCTCATTCAATGAAATGCATTTTTAATTGCGATTTGCCTAGCCGCGTAGCTCCTACACGCCGATAAATGACTATAGTATTTGTAGATGCAACAAGTGTACGATTTCTAGGTCTACTATATCCGGTTTAGCGTTACTACACGACTCCCTTTAATTGTCAAACTTTGCCGTTTTGTTTTGGATATAGGCAAATGTTAATCCCGGGAATAATTGTCCGGGAATAACTGTCGTGAGAAAGCAACTACCTGTGACAATGTACTGTGACAAATTTGACTATACGTTCCATGAAAATGTTTTAAATCTTATATCGCGAGATTCGGAGAAGGATATTATACCTTCTGTTATCGAGACGAATGAAATCTGAATTATATTGTAAAATGTGAAATTAAGTGACCTTTATATGCAAAAAAGGAATCTACTGCAAAATTCGAAAGGTCAGAGGTCATGTATTTTTCAGTAATTCAAATCTGATTAAACTCTCCGGATTACGTAATGCGAGTCATTTGCTTTATGTGAAACTGCGTATGCGTATGCGATATATATCCAAAGTTGTCGCGCTACTGTAAATACGCAGTTGCACACGTACATGTCGGTCTCTACACGCAATTTTGAACTCTGACATTTCGAGGTAGCACCATCATCCGTGCGCTCGTTACTCGCTACCCTCTGCAGCCATTTCCAGCATCACCATTAGAGTTGACGCAATTATGCGAGTTAACTTACCCTCAGAGGGTCTCCGTAATTCGTTAATGAGAAGCCAATTGAGAGCAATTAATCGGTAATTCGATCGCAACACGCGGAAACTTTGCCTTCCAGGATTATGAAATTTCTGATAAGTCTAGCGGCTCCTAATGAACGAAACATAAGACATAAATTTACGCGTGTTAAATTATTAATTACAACCATAATTGCGCAAAATCCGACAGAGAATCTCCCAGGATTTTAGGATTTCGATTGAAACAAATCGTTCCGCCCCTTTTAGAATATGTATATGAATTTAGGATATGTATATATTTATTATTTTTCACGGAATCTTTTTATATACACGTGGGACTGTAACGCGCGCCTATATCGGCTCTATCGCCGTCACGCGATAAAACAAAGTTCGATAAAGTCAACCTGCCAAGTTACACATGTGTGACGTAAAGTGACTGAAAACTCTCTCGCTGTCTACGTCATACGACAGTAACGTCATAGTCGAAGAAAGTAAACCGCGTCGATTACATCAAGTCGTGACGTCGCGTCGTCGACCGAAGCTGCGACAACGTCATCATATCTGAAGAAATTTTATTATAGAACTCTACGCTACTTACATATTATTTTTATGTAACCGCAGACGTACACGCACACACACGCTCGCGCGCGCGCGCGCATGCATATGCATGCTACATGGGAAACCCTTTATCGAGCGACCTTATTGCTCCTACACTCGATCTTTTCACGCATCGCGGAAAGAGACTCCCGACATTTCGCGTTACATGACATTTAAGTTTCTTCAATCGCTAATAAAATTTGAAGAACCATCCACATAATCCTACGACCTCGGTCGGAAATCCATTGTCAGAAAGAAGAACTTGGGGGCGGGGGGAGGGGGGAGGGGCTCGAACGGGGAGACCCGGGCGCGTATGAAACAAGAAAAGAGTATCGCGAAGCTCCTGATCGTGAAAACGCCGCTCTCATCGGAAAACGCACCAGCAATGAAAATCCCGCAATTTTCCCGCAGATGACGTACAACTGGGCGTGGTTGTTGCTGCTGCTGCTCTCGCTGGTCTCGATAGGCACGTGCCTACCTACGAGCCTGATGGAGGACACGAAGAAGGCGGACCAGGTCATGAAGCCGAAATGTAAGATTCAAAGTTTGATTGCGTATCTTCCGCGCGTCGAGATTCAGATTGTTAGAGAGATCGCGTTATCAAATTATCCTATACGATTTCGATTCGCTTCAACGCGCCTCGCAATACCAATTTCAGCAAAACGAACGCAGGAAACGTTGATGTTCGGCAATCAGCAGAATCGACAGGTTGCCAATGCCGCCGCCAACGCCGGTGAATCCTTCACCTCGAACGCGGAGAAACGTGAGTTATTAGTATTCGTTAAAAGATACAATGACAATGCTGTGCTACATTCTGGCGAATACCGCACGAGGACCATCCTTGGAATTCATCAACATTTACGTACGCAGGAACCCTTGCTGCCTCGGGGCTGGGTGGCTTAAAAGCGGCTCTTGCCGAGGACGATAAACCATCCCCAGCTCTGAAATCGCCTAGCAACGCTATGTACGAGCACGAGGCGTACTCGCCATATGACAAAAATTACGAGTGAGTTTACTTCTCGCGTCAGCGGGAGGATAAAGTTTGAAAACTTGATACCTCGAATCGTGCGATGATTTTAACGTTAACGTTCGATTTGATCGGTACGAATGTAATATATTTTCTTGCGTTGAGAAGCTTATTATATATATATATATATATATATTAGAAATTATAATGGCCTGTCGTGCAACATTTGATATATAGCTTTACGTTACTTGTTCCTCTTGGTTACATTCTTGCGTTACCTCGATCGGCGAGATTCGCCGTAACGAATGAAACGCATTCGTGTGTTCCAGCTATAGTAAAGTCATGGTGAACGAGGTCGAGGAGGATATACCGCGAGTGTGGGATACGATGCCGTATTCGCAGTATTACGCGAGCGAAGATCGGCGGAAGAGATCGGACAGGTCGACCGCGACCGTGCGGCCGAGCACCACGTGGCAGCCCCCGACGAGTTCGTTCCAAACGAAACGATCCAGCCTTGTGCCTACCGAGCAACCTGCTCAAGTTAAGAGGAGGTAAGTGGCCGCGTCCTACTTCCTCCTAATTCTCCCCGAAATCGATAACCCGCGTGATCGATATTACCGGGGGCAACCGCTGTTAAATTGCGGTAGGTAACGAAATAACGCCTCCCCTCGAAAGGGGCAAAGACAGAGGACGACGCGACGGCGCGGGCGGTCTCGTTACGCGCGGCTTCGCCTATTTTGTGCAACCTCGCACGCGCTTATTCAAGAGCCGAAGAGAAAATGGGAGAGAGCGAAATAGTAAAACGTTATTTAGTTGGAGACCGATTTGCGAAGAAGCTTAGCCTCTCGGTACGAGACTGATATTAGATTGTCGCGTGATGCAATATCGGGAATCGACGCAAAATGAGTTTCATCAAATAAGTTACAATTCTCTCTCTTTCTTTCCTTCTTTTCGATACTCTAAATCAAAATCTAATTCTAAATTACCCTCGGATCGACTTCAACGTCGCGGAGTTGCGCACGTTGAGTTGGCGCGATAACGGGAACCCTCGCGGAAAGTGGGGATCGACTCAATGTACCCCGGCGCATAAGGGCTATGCATCACCGTGCGCGCCCTTTTCACCCTTTCCACCTACCAAGCATCCCTCTTTTCCTCCGGCGTTTCTTCTGAATGGGGAAGAGAGAGCTCGTGAGGGCGTTGCCCTCGGCGCAGGGACGGCGGCGGTCGACTTGACGACCGAAGTCGTATTGAACCATTTGATAGAGCGAGAGAGAGAGAGAGAGAGAGAGAGAGAGAGAGAGAGAGAGAGAGAG